CCCAAAAGAAACTAAAATACATCTGAAAGACCTAGAATGGACTCTTTTCTCCGCAGGAATGTCGGACCACAGATACGGCGACGGGGGATCCACCTTCCAGAGCACGACCGGCCACTGCGTCCACATGAGGGGTCTGCCTTACAGAGCTACGGAGAACGACATCTACAACGTGAGTTCCACGCCCACCCCGCGCTTCCCTGCCTGGCCTTAGCATTCCCTGCTGGTGATTGTTGGCTGTGCCAGCGACACCCGGAGTTCCTTCAGAGCAAGGAGCTTGCTCTGAGGCTGAACTGTTGCATTGGGGCCTTTTAATCTTTGTGACTGTTTCGTACGTAGTTCTTCTCACCTCTGAACCCTGTAAGAGTACACATTGAGATCGGACCAGACGGCAGGGTAACTGGAGAGGCAGACGTTGAGTTTGCTACCCATGAGGACGCAGTGGCTGCCATGTCCAAAGACAAAGCCAATATGCGTGAGTACATCCCCGGGGATGGGGTGCTGGTTCTGCTGCAGCAGTCAGACAGACTGCAGGGCCTTGGGGGGGAAACGTTCTCATGGCAAATTTCCTTTTTCCAGAACACAGATACGTAGAACTCTTCTTGAATTCTACAGCAGGAGGGACTGGTGGTGCTTATGGCAGTCAGATGATGGGAGCAATGGGTATGTGTAAACAGTCTAACTGCACTTCTAAACAACCGTTTGATATTGAGCAAAGCTGGCTGATTTTAATACAGCTCCAGCTTATTCTGTGCCTGGCACAAAAACTGAATTACAACATTCTGTCTTAATCACACAGTCAAGGAATCGGAAGGGGTAGTCCAAGATTGGAACACTAGCACACTGGCAGGTATATAAACCTTTTGGGAATAAATTTGAACAAGTACTAGGGTGAATAAACTGTGGTGCTGGGTGGGTGTGGGGGGTGTGGTGGGATTGAGGGGCTCCTGGGAGTGTGGTGATGTGAAAGTGAAGTGGGAGACGCCTGTCCTTTCATTCTCCTTCCCTCTTTTTTGGAGACCAGAACACAGTGTGGTGATGGAGGGTGTATCTGTGGAGGAGTACATGAGCTTCCACTTGAGTCTGGCCTTGGTGGTGAGGGAAAACCAATTTGGAGAAACTGTCTGAATTGTTCTAGCAAACTCCAAAGTTGTTTAAAAATCTAAAATGTGTTTGAGACCTGTAAATGACTCTTGTGTCTCTGAAGCAGATACCCTTCTTGATACCGACTTGTCTGGTTTCTTACGAGATGGTGAGGGTGGTTGGGTTTTGGGGGTTTCTTTCTCAGGGGTGGTGGGATGGGACGGTGCGTGTGTAGATATTCTACTGCTTTTATAGTATTTTAATGACAAAAAGTTAGAAGTGTAATGCTGATACTTGAACTACAGAAAAATTTTGTGGTATAGACAAGCGATGAGGTGAAGAGCAGTAGTTAGTAAGTTTGAGTAGAGCTGTATGGTGAGCCACAGTGCTACTGTGATGCACAACCAGTCTGGAACAGGAGTAGGCCCCTCCCAGGACACAAGTGATGTCAGTGAGTCTCCTGAAGGGCTGGGTTCTATCATGGACCTGCGTGAGGTCACTTAGAGTCACGTTTGAGTCTCTTGGGAGTGTGTGTTCTGTACAGTACCAGGCTGAACCTGCTCCCTATAGTCTGTAGAAACTGTGAGAGCAAACCCTTGTAGTGAGCACTTGAGGGTCACAAGCATTTGGAAGCATGCTTGGGAAGGAAGTTAAGTAGGTGAGGGACAGCTAGTGCCAGAGGGCTGTTAGTTAGGGTGGGCTTGTTGACAATGAGCAGACTGACAGGCAGGCTCTGAACTTCTTTATCCTTGACCTGAAAGGAAGCCAATCCAGTTATGGTGGTCCAGCCAACCAGCAGCTGAGCGGAGGTTACGGAGGAGGATATGGAGGTCAAAGCAGCATGAGTGGCTATGGTAAGAGCTTTTCCTCACTGGTTTAGATGGGCTAAGTGCACCTGGGTTAGCATGTGTTAAGGTGCTGTTCTGATGTTCAGTGGTCGTGCACAAGCCCGGGGAGATGACAATTTGTCTATTGTGAATTTGAGAACTCCTGGAGAGCTGGCGGGGAAACAGATGGGAGGTGGGAACTTGGAGCTGAAGGGGGAGTGTGGGAAGTTGTTCAGAAAGGGGTGGGAAATCAATGCCAGTCTCCAGACTCGGGTTACTCCGGTTGCTTTGTTCTTACTGTGGTTTAAATGGAGTGTGAATGGGGGGAGGGGGGACATGGGGGGCTGGGTGCCCTCCACTTCCACGGAGCAGTGACGCAAAGCACTGCTGTTGGAAGGGTGGGGAACAGAGCTGACTCTGTAACTGAAGAACCAATAAACTTGCTTCTGGGTACGGAGCTCTAAACTGACACTTTGCAGTATTGGGCACAGTAGGCGGTATTTACGAGGTGGCCCAGCACGGACAGGCGCTGGGGGAAGGATGCTTCGAGTCGGCCTGAAGCAGCTGTGAACCTGCTGTCGGTTTTCCCCTCAGACCCCGGGAGCCAGGGCGCCATGAACAGCAGCTATTACAGCAGCGGGAACCGCGCGTCCATGGGAGTGAACGGCATGGGCGGCATGTCCAACATGTCCAACATGAGTGGTGGCTGGGGAATGTAACCGATCGCTGACTTTTGGTCACTTCTTTTTTTAAAAAACAAAAAAACAAAAAACTAAGTTTAACAGTTTTGCAATACGAGCTTGTGATTTATGCTTTACTGTAAGTGAATTCAGGATTGTTATTTTAAAACCTTTCAAGGTTCAGTATTTTTGAACATACAGAAATGAACATTCATCTAGGATGTAATAACCAAGTTGAGTAAAGACTATAACTGTTAAACAATTTTGGGCGTTTCTCAAGTTAGTTTTGTTGTAGGAGTGTATTTAAGCAGTAAGCGTATTTAGGTTAAAGCTGTTTGAATTATGTTAAATGTTGCTCTTATACCATATTACATCCGACACTGTTTTGAACTCATGTTGAAAGAGACATGCTTTTTTGTAAAGAAACAATATAGGAGCTGTGTCTGAAATTCAAAGTGAACATTTGGCATGTTAGTTCTAGTTTATTTCTTTTAATATCCTGTAAGGCACGTTAAAGCTTTTTTTTTTTAAGTTAATGGGGGAAACGTTGAGACGCAATACGGCTACTTTAGGATTTTGGTCTTGGTGTTCGTATAAAATTCTGAGGCCTTGATTTAATCTTTCATTGTATTGTGATTTCCTTTTTAGGTGTATTGCGCTAAGTGAAACTTGTTAAATAAATCTTCCTTTTAAAAACTGGAACTCATTCCTTCTTGACTTGCAGCTTCTGTGGTGTAGCTACGCCTGCAGAAGTGTCACTGTGCTTCAGTGACTCGCTCCTAATGCGAGTTCTCACCTGAAAGCTGGCCTTGTAGGATGTTAAAGGGGGTTAGTGAAGAAAAGCAGCCCCTGCTGCTGCTCTGGGTGCCAAATGTGCGTTGGTTCAGAGTGCCCTGAGGCTCTGATGTGTGACCCAGGCTCCTCGGAGCTGTCTGCTGGGCAGGGTCTCAAACTGCAAATGGGCTGAGGTGATGGTTCTGTGCTACTTTGTAGGCTTCTCCTCTTTGGAGCCTGAATGCTGCAGCAGTGTGGACTCTGCAGCTTACTGCAAGCATGTTTCAATAAATTCAAGCTGTCAAACACCGTGCTTAAAGATGTGGTTTTATAAACAGTGTAGTTACAGCTTTTGAGCACCAGAACTTCCCCAACTTCCCCTGAGATAACACTCTGCTTCTGTGCCATTGCCCTTTTTGACTCACTGTTCTTTCCTAAGGGTTAGAAAACTGATGTCCCTTACAGCAGTGGGGCTGTAAGGGTTGAATCCTGTGCAATCCCTGCTGCAGCCAGGCTGGTCCTTGGCCTTGATGTCTTATAAACCTGCTTCAGAAAGGGGGTGGTGCCTGGAGTCATCAGCCCCTGATGGAGTGAGGCTGGTGCTGGAGCCCAGCTACTCACACTCCTCTCCCGGCTGAGCTTCCAGCAGTTTGGGAAACCTGGGACATAGGGCTGAACAGGGATCTCACCTGGGCTTGCCCTGGTCTGAACAAAGCCTTGGAAGAGCGAGCCTGTGCCCAGTCCTGTGCTGTTCTGAATCATCTGGCACTTGCTGAGCAGTGTGGGCACCGCAGGGGACAGCAGGGTCACCTCCCAGCCTCTCCCAGTGCCACTGGGGTGTAGGGCAGCAGTGGAGCTGAGGATCCCCTGACAGCCTGTCAGAGTCTGTGCTGGAACCAGCCCCCTCAGGCTGCTGAGAAGTGAGCAGTGCCCTTGCTGGCTGAGGAAGCATCTGGGCAGCTGCCCTGCAGCAGGCTGAACTCTGCCCAGCTCCCCTGGGGAGCACAGCAGCAGCTGCCACTGCACACAGGCTTTATCTGGGACCTTCAGGAGCACACCACGAGCAGGCACGTGTGGCCAGTTCTAGATACACACGCTGGTACCTCTCACTTAAGCCCTTGCTGCACAGGGCTGGACTAGAACATTCTTTTCCAGAAGCTGTGACTTGACAGCTGTTCAACTGTGGTGTCAGTTTTTGCAAAAGGCTTTATTGTGTAACTACCGCACAGAGTCGCAGCAACTTCCAGAACAAGTACAAGGTGTAGTTTTTGACTGCAGTGAACAGAAGGCACATTCATTGACACTCATCATAAAGCTCTTTCTATAGACAATTCATAAATTGACTTTTCTTCTCTGTACTTAGCAAATACAAAACTGTACACTAGCCAGGGAAACAAATGGGAGCAGCTGCAGTGAAGACACAGAGGAACTGACGTTAATGTGCAGAAAGACAATGGTGACTGGAGGGATCAAATAAATGTAGAAATGCCATATACAAATTTTAATACAAATATCTATAAAAATCAGAAAAGTAAATTTGCATTTTAGTTTCAAATAGAACTGGAAGAGAAATGACAGTTGATACAATCTTAGTTATTCCAGTTGAAGAAACGTTAGCTTGCACAATCCCTACAAGGTATCTTACATTGCTCTGTCTTACAGTGGAAAACTGTAGAGACCAGACCATCTGCTGCACAGAAGATGCCTGGAATTCATAATTTAAAAAATAATGGCTACTTTCCAATGTGCAGGTTACAAAAGCCTTAGGAGGAGTTGGAGGAGCACCGCTGCAGGAGCAAAGTGTGGCAAGTGTCGCAGACGCGGACAGGTTTGGGGTAGGATGGCAGTGCCAGTTCATTGCTGGAACAGGTGTTGCAGAAGATGTCCCCGCAGTTTCTGCAGTGATGCTACAAACAGAGTTAGAATAAGCACAGCTGCCTAAAAACTGAGCGTCGGGAAGAGCGAAATCAGACCTTATAAAAGCTTTCAGAGCCCAGACATCATCCTCCAGCTCCCAACAGGTCCAACCCTCCCAGCAGCGCTTCCCCCTGCGTGGAGGAGTGGAGCCAGAGGGGTGATCCCCGAAGAGCCCGGCCTCCCCCCACGAGCAGGAGCTGGCAGGGCAGGCCTGGCCAGGGGCTGGAGGGCTCAGCAGCTCCCTGGGTCACCACACAGCCAGGCCCAGGCTTTCAGGAGAGCACACAGGGGCCTGGCTCTGCATGGAGGAAATTTGGTGCCTGGGCTGTCCCAAGCCACGGAGCAGGAGCCCAGCAGCAGTGCCCCTGCGACCGAGGCACCGAGCACAGCCTGCTGGCATCCAGACCTCAGTGCACTCAGCTCAGCAGGGAGGGAGATGACCCACAGCCCACAACAACTCCCTACCAAGGAAAGTACCCACGCAAAAGGATGTTATTTTTAGGATGGGAAATGCCAAATTACTTCTATATGTAGTTCTCATGCCAACAAGATCTGGAACTGAAGCGGCATCAAGCCTTCCCTAGCAAACTATACAACGGCACAATTTTTGTTCTCCATGACAACAGGAAAAAATAATCCCCTGTTAATAAAAACATTACCTTCCTTCTTGAGATAGAGAATTCCTTCTCACATTGCTTGCAGTGTGTCGCTTCGTCATCCTTCAGCCAGGTATGACCCTAAGAAATTGGAATGAAAACCTCACTGTAAATACAAATACATTTATAAAATACAATTCAAAGGCAGTTTACCAACAAATTTTTCAATAGCCTTTTGAAGCAGGATAACCGTGTTGAAATTTGAAAGCATTAAATGCATGTGTTTAGTCAGAATACTCCTGAGATGTAGATTACCTTTAGTGCTTTATTTACTTCTTTAATATCTTCCATCTTCAACTTTGATCTGGAAAAAAAAAATACAATAATCCCTCTGCATGTTTTTACATTTAGTTGTGTTCAGCTTTACCCACCATTCCACTGTCCAGCCACTGAGTCAAAGCTGATGGTTCAGTCAGCTCCCTGTTACAACTCTGCACTGCTCAGTATCACCAGAAAGCTCTGTCACCTTGGGGCCTGTCCCCTCCTCAGTATATTCAGAATGAGATGGGAAAAGTGCAGTTCCACTGGGAGAACTATGTCAGCCAGCTTCCTCGTGCAAGGATTTTATTTCACAGCTGTTTAGTTTCCCATGCATAGTACTTGCCTTCTAAATTCTCAAGTTTAATGATTTTTTTCATAATAGGATGCTTTAAAAGTTACTTGTATTGGTTTGATACCTCATCCTCCAGGTTATGTCACTTACAGGAGTTCAGATCCTAGAACTTACTGGCTGAGATGAAGTCCCATTTCTTGAAGAGCTTGTTCCTGCTCCTCACAGACTTTCTCCAACTGCTGCTTCTCATCTTGCAGTTTTCTCAGCTCCTGCAAATATCAAGGTTTTTTGTGCGCCAAGTCCAACCTATAACCTAGATCAGTCTATGCAACTACCCAAGCAGATCACAAGAATAACTTCCTTTACAAAGCTAACTACTTCTATTTAGGCTTAATTATTTAGGTTTTATTTTTAGAATTGCCATTCTGCACCAACACTGCAATCATTTAACCTTATTTACCACAAAGAGGAGGATTTTCGGGCTTTAAATATCCTTGAGCAAAGCTAGGATGCAGCAGCTCTATGCCCACACATGAACATAAAGACAGATAAGGGTGTAAAATTGTGTCTTCAAAATCTAAACTGTGAGATGGGCAAATTCTCTTCAGGTTAACAAGAATGTTCATGCTTGAAAAAGAAATCCCATTTAGAGGTTTGGAATGCTTGAAAACGTGTTCTTATTTTATTACGTACAGTTGAGAGACCTCACGGTATCACTGCAAGCCCTGAACTTGCCATTTCCTACCTGGGCAGGAATAGCTCACCATGGGACAGCTGATGAGCTTTTTGTCCCCAGCCACCCTGCCTCAGCTTCAGCTCCTGGCTGACAGTGGCTCAAACACTCTCACAATGCACTGGTTCTAAGTCAGCTTTAATCCTCAACACGGGGCACATCTGCCCTGTATGTACCTTTTTCAGTCCTTCCATTTGTTGCAGTTCTGTTTTAAGCAGAGTGGTAGCATCTTTCTCTTGGTGTAGTTCTTTTTGTAAAGTTTGTCTCTGTTCCTTTTCAGATTTTAATTCCTTTTCCAAAGTTGAGCTATTTAAAAATAATTCATTCTAAGAAACCCTATATCAGAAAAATATCCTATAGCACTTAAGGAATACAACAATATGAGAAGAAGAAACTTTGTCCAAAAGAAGGCAAAAAACAAGAGTGGTGTTCTGGGAAAGGAAAGAACAGGGATGTTATGGCAGCAGGCATCAGAAACTGTAACAGCATTTTCAGGTCACAGAAAACAAGCAGCAATGAATGGCTAGAAATAAAAAAGGGAAAAATAAACCCCAAACAAATCTCTACACAAAAACCCCAAACCAATCCCCACAAGTACATATTCGATTACCTGTGTTTGAACATCCATGTTTAAAAATGACATTCTACCCTGAAGTCTGAGCAGTGAAAGAAGCATTTTCTATAGGTATTGGAAATCTTTAGAGGCTCAGCATTCCCTAAGAACACACCCCTACAGCCCTTCAAAAACTCAAGCCCATTTGTATGACAGTCACCATACGCTCAGCCCATGGGTGTGACCGTCCCCCATCTCCTGATGTAGTGAAAACAGAATTACAAGCTCCTCTGCTAGTCAGAGTGGCCAGACTTCTACTGGCACCCTGTGCTCCGAATTGGATGTTGAAAAAAGATTTCAAAATGCCCATGCTAACTGCTCTGTCCAGAGGTACTGTGCTTTCCTGCACCTTGCATACTTCTGTCAATACTTGATGAACTCAATCTAATTCAGACCTGCCCCTCTTAAGACCTTAGCACAGAAGGAGTAGAAAGTACCTCCTAAAGAAATGGCAGAAGGGAAGGGAAAAAACCTGATCAGATTAAATACCATTTGCTATCCAGCTGGGACATCTGTTGCCGACAAGTGTCAAGCCTGCCAGCAAGCTCTTGCTTCATCTTGTTGCATCTTTCTTCTGCAGCCTGCTTTGCCTTTTCTGCATGCTGCAATCTACAAGGTAAGGAACATGGACATTTGTTGTCAGTTCACATACTCTTCACCTACAGCCTCTCATTCTGTTCTTTTAGGTTTACCATTCAGATCTTGGTAAAAGCTTGAACTGAAAATGCTAGTGGAGAAAAAAAAAAAAGACTTGAAAACAAGTTCTGTTTCTGCAGAAAACCAAAAGCAAAAGTCACACCTGTTCTTAAACCAAGGTAGACATGTTTTTAAACAGCCTGCCTAAGGAGAAACCTATGGTTTTCAAATGGCTCAATTATGGCCACGTTTGCCTGGGAACGGAGAACAGGCAAATGCAGAGGGTGGAGAAAAGAAAAAGAATGTCATGCTGGCAAGCGTGCCAAATGCTCTACAGAAGGAAGGTCATTCTATAAAGGTTTCAGCTGGAAACTTTCTACTGACTTCAGTGTTGACTTTCTGAGCTTGTAATTATTACCTCTCTTCCATTTGTTTCATAGAAGACATCATCTCATTTGTTTTTCCTTCAAAAGAGGATATGGCTTCTGCTTTTTGCTGTAATGAACACTCTGCATTCTGTAGGAATATGTGAATACATAATCCAGGAAAAAAGATTTTAGTTTTCTAAAGCATGAAGTGTTACATCTTTAATCAAAGTGTGCCACTAGATAAGAATGTTTACCCTGTTAGATGCCATGCCTGGGTCTAACTGGAATGTACAAACAAAATGCTGATAATGCCAGGGCAGACACTCCTCAGCTTGTTAAGAGCTCATTAAAAATTAAAAAAAAAAAAAAGACAGCTCAACTGTACTAAGTTTTGACCTACAAGATCAGCTACAAGCAAATAAAATCTTCTCTTTAGAAATGAGCTTGAAAGAAATTCTCAGATTCAACTGACAGGATAAGAGTATTCATTATGATTTGAATATAAACCCCATTTCAAAACAGATATTCTTAAAAAAAATTTGTCACATCTAAGTACTATTTCAGATGCACAGAAGTGCACATGCCTCCCCAGTGCATGATTAAGATGTCATGACCACCACTGCAGCTGCCCCATCCACGACGTACGTACCTGAGACTTGTGAAACATCTGCAGGTTAATGGCCTTGACTTCTTCCAGCTGCTGGCGAAGTGCAACTAAAGTGTCTTGCTTTTCATGAGTATCTTTTTCCAGAAGTTTCATGGCAATTTCCATTTCTGTTTTCATTCCAATTTGGAGCTCCAGCTCTTTCTCTAGTTCCTTACACAGAGATTTCCTAGTTACTGCCATGTAGCTGTATATCAGGGACAAGCATTTCCAAAACCCACATAACCCCCTACACAAACTGCGTGTTACTCTGAGATACCAACCTATGATCTTACACAAGAACCAGGTCTCAAATAATACATTAAGTTAGTAAGACCAAAAAACTATTGCAGCTCTTCAGAGCAGGGCAAAGGTGCATGCATGATCTGCTGGCAGGAAGTGTAGAGCTCAGTGTGTGACTTGGTGGCTTGTTGAATGAAGCATTTCTGCTCTTCATCAGTCACCAATCAGCAGTTCACTGTGCAAGTGACTGTTGTGCATATGCCATATGTTACCCCATGAAGACAGTTGCCTCTCTTTGTGTTTTGATCTTAGTCTCCACTATAATAATTCTGATAGGTTCTTAAACAGGGAAAAAGATCCTTTACTATCAGCATTCCAAAAGTCCCAACTTCCAGTTCTTTACAGGCACTGTTAACAACCAGTGTCCAGCATCTTGCTTGCAATTCCTTTATGAATACTGAATAGTGCACAAAAGTGCACAGCTTACATCTTATATTTGTGATGCTACCTCAAAGCATGCAAAATCCTGTATCTTTCATTTTACTTTCTATACTTAAGTTTCCTTACCAGCCTTATCTTTTTTTCTTCTTTCAACTGCTTCCAAACATCACTGTACATTTCATCAAGACCCTGGCGTGACTGCTTGTAAGTATCCAATTCTACTTTTGTATCCTCTTTTGTAACCTACAAGAAGCACCAGCAAAAGCCAGGTAAGATCACAAAGCTGTATATTTAAAGTATGCCTTAAGATCTTGCAGATAACACAGTATTTCTATGTGCTATTTCAAGTAAAATTCCCCTGGGTTTCAATTAATAAGCTGGCAAATATTAATAAGCTGGCAAATATTAATAAGCTGAAATTTCAAAGAATAGAGTAAAAATAAAAAGAAACTATTCTAATACTTTTAACACTTTCTCCCCTCTGCAAGTCTAAATTTCAGCATGTAGTAAAGAAAAGCAAAATCTAAAGCCTGTGAATACTATACACAAAACCAGTGATCTACCCAGCAGCATGCCAAACTGTGCTTAGTCATCCAGTTCAAAGTGCTTTTGAGGACACTAACTACAGCTGATCAAAAGAGATCACTTATTTTAAGGACCCTCATCATCTTTTACTAGGTGTCCCACCTCCACACTTTTTTCACTGCGTTCACGAATTAACTCGTTCTGTTGTTTCAGCTGCTGCTGCTCTTCCTGAAGGGATCCAATCCGGTCAGTTGCTGCTGCAAGCTGTACACAAAGAGATCACACCTATTTCATCACTGTGCAAGCATGAAACATCTGGAGGAATTCTAAAGTTAGTAGCTCAGCCTGTGCAGCAGGTGCGCTGCTCACTTCCCCTTTCACGCTCCCCAGAAGCTGCCCGACCCTTTTGCAGCCATACTCACTGTACAGCCTCAGTTAATAAGCCCACCAGCATTTGTTCACTTGACTTCTGCTTCATGCCCTCATCAATTAATTTTAAATATTAACTGGGCAAAGAAATGCATCCTAGTGTAAAAAGCTCAAATACCCCACAGGTCTGTGGTATTCACTGTGGTATGAACTAGGTATCATATAGCAAGTCAGTGATGGAACCTTATGGCATTTTCAAGTGGAAAAACCCAAAAAAAGTCTTGGAAATGGGACTACAAAGATAAACCTCTGAACTACACACACATACAGAGATACATACACACAGACATTTCATATATGTGTGTGTATATATATATTAAAAAAAATATAAAAATTAAAAATCCCAACCCACCACCAGAAAACTCAAAACACCCACTGACTCTGTTTCAGTCCCCAGCTAAGAAAGATTTCCCAACTGAAGTGTGACTCACATGACAAACACACGTGCACGTGTATGTGCAGAGGGAAGAGGGACAAAGTCACTTTCATTATAATTACTTTTGGGTGAAGACATCATTGCAAGACAAAACACTTGGTGATGGAAACACATTACCAAATAGGTGCCAAAAAGCATTTTAACAGCTAGTGTAAATGTAGAAATTTTCCAGAGAGCTCCCCTCAAGTGCCAACTGATGCCAGTCCCACCAATCCCCTACACTTCTCCAGTATCAGCTCAAACACTCTAGGTCTAAGGTATGTTCTGAGGAAGTTTTTCCTTTGACGGGAAAGAGCCATGAGAAATATTCAACAGACGAGACACAAACCTCTTCCTGGAGTTTTGAATTGGTCTTTTCTAGACAGTCTATTTTGTTCTGAAGATCTGCAACCGTGCAACTGCAGAAAGGAAAAGAGATGCATAAAAACAGTTATGAAAGTGCCACAGTTCAACATTTATTCCTATGCTTAACCATAGTTTTGCCATCTTGCATTTGTTAACAATGAAATACTTTGGTGAGCTGGCAAAAAAACTAGACGAAGAACAATTGTCCTTCTTGAGCACTGAAAGGACAATGCACTTCCCTACAGCTGGCAGCCCTGTTCTGGCTTAGCTTTTGCAGTCTCAACACTTCTCATGTTCCAGAGGGTAAGAGAGGCCAGTCTCCTCCCACTGAGCAACCTATGGGGGAAGAATAGAGACTCTTCTCTACAGAATGGATTTCCACATGCACTTGTAATAGTTTTCTCTTGAAAAAGTACCTCCAAGATCTTCCATTAAACTCAAAAAAGTAAACTATTATTACACACTCTTGCTTTCTCCATTGCATATGCCATCAGAAAAAATAAGATTACAAAATGAAACTAAGATTTTGGGAAGTAATTAGAAAAGTCATTTCAATATCACACAAAAAAATCTACAAGACTGACAGCAGAGACATTCAGAGCCACACTGGAAAAACTAAACAGGACAAATGTTTGTACATTAGAAGAGTTTAGAATCCCACCTTAGATGTCGGTTGAGTTCTTCCACGTAATGCTTCTGATCAAGGACAGCTGTAATCCCTCCATCTCTAGTTGTAAAAGTGAGAATTAATTGATTGAGAAGACACTCCTTAATTCTAAAGTGTTACTTTGTACTAGCATTTTCAGCACAGACTTGCAATCTGGGTTGAAACCTTTTCTCCTTTTCTTATAAAACTACTTGTGCCCGAGCAAGACTGGCAGCACCAGGGAGATGAAGCAGCCATTCAGCTGCTTCCCAACAGCCAAGCAGGAAAGTGCTCTGAAGTGCCAGAAGCACACAAACTGTGAGTGCCCTTCCACTCATTACAGGTCTTCTAGACAATGATGCTAACAGCTGCAGTCTCTAATTCACCTAATATTTCACCTAAAAGTACTTTTTTTTCCCCTCCATAACTCATCTCTCCCACAAAGACAGCTACTTATTTGAGGGTGTTTTTGAAACAGTGCTTAGGAACAAAGCAGTGAGTTAGTAGTGGGTGACGTGGCAGACTATGTCTCCTAAAACCAAATAAAAACAAAATCTAAAATTGTTGGTGCTTTTAATTTGGTCCCAGCCCAACAGACAAACTCTTCACAGTGTGAAAACTGCCACAGGCTCAACCTTTGAAAGCCAGTACTTTTGTTTAGCTAACAAAAAACTACTTTGGATTATCTTTTTTGGATGGTTAAAATGGTTTGAGACCTCTAGCACCCATGCTTCCATAGACTGACAGGTTTGTTGTACAAAACCCATAACAATTTAGAATCACTAATTGACCATACATACTGTTTGCCATCACTGTCCTGTGTTTCCTTCAGGTACAAGGAAAAATCAATCACTCCAACCTGAAAAATATATTTTAAGGTATTAACACACCTTCACAGTGCAGTTCTGCATAGCAGCAGGCATTACTTTTTGTTTGGAAAAAGGTAAAAATCTTAAGTTCAGACAGACAGATAATACCTGTATTATTAGCTGAAGTAAACCTGCAAGCTAGTATTTGACATAAAAGCATCAAAATAACCATATTCAGTGTGCTCAGCTTCCTAGCAGTTACTAGTTTTCACAATGTTTCCATAAACTGCTACTTAAGATGGATACTTATTTACTTTTTCTTGATTCAAGGTGGGAAACACAACAAACTTGAGCAAAGGACATTCTAGACATAATTCTGGACTCATCTCAGTAAAGTATTTATGGATGTGTTTAATTCTACTAGAATCTTACAGCAACTGATCTTATTTAACCTTTAATCTTCACCTGGGAATCCAAGTCTTCTCCTTTCAAGCAAAGGTTTGCATCAATAACATTCAGCCCAACTAGCAGGCCCACAATGACTGCTCCTTCCTCCTCCATCATCAACGCATCGGCTTCGTAAAACTCACTACAAGAAATATGACAAGGCATCACTGCACATCAAGCAATTTTAAGGGTATTTCCATTGCTGAAATCACACAAACAGTAATGTAATCCTCATGAAGCTCAGCTGATCACCCTCTCCTTGCTCATTTATTGCACAAGGTAGAAGATGCACAACTCTCACAGAAAATACTCTGCTTGTTCCTCTGTAGATTTACTGCAAACCCAGAGAACAACTTGTTCCTCTGCAGGTTGCAAGAACAAGCTTAAAGTTCAACAGGTCAATTAATGACCTCTTACTAGAGCAAGGCAAGGTTCCAGTGACTCAGTGAATGCAATCCATTTATGTCTCTACTGTTACCTTAACAGATGTTTATGGTCCAAGAGTACTTTGAGATAATCTGCCAGTTTCTTCTGCATGAGTGCTAGATAAAGCCAAGCCCTTCCTCTTCCCACAGCAGTCCTAAAAGGAAAAGTTGCATGTTTTGGTTAAAAACAAAGCATTTTATTAAATAGATCTGTACAATTCAAAATTCTCCTTTTACAAGGGGAAGTGAAGGTTGTTATTTACTAACCCTCCCACAAAGAAAAAAAGACCAATCCCTGGAGAAACGTCTTCAGAACACAGAAACATTTAAATATATCCCATTGCTTCAGCAAAGAGAACATAAAGTGTTTCTAACTTGGAAAGACATATGTATTTCCAGCTATCACCATAACCCAGTCTCTCTCTATCATCCTGAATTACCCAAATACAGTACCTACCAGCACATGTACAAAATGACACAGAGTCATAAAAGCAAGGGAACAAAAGGTAAAGAAAGTCTCTGTGAAGATTTTATGGTTATTTTTAGCAAGGTTACAGAAGTTTTCAAATACTGTTTTTAAGCTGACAGCATTGTTTGAATCAGAAGCACAGAATATTTTGAGATATCCTCCTCATCTCTCAGAGAAGTCAAGCCTCCTACATACCCTGCTCTCTTTGGGAATAAGGTCTCATTAAGGAAGGTGAGCAACTACATGAAGGATTCTTTCTCCCAGCAGTCTAAGTAAAATGCATCACCCCCAACAATCAACTTACTTTAGCTCCGGAAGATTTTTAACACTAGTTGCTATATCTGATGCTTCAGGACAAAGTTTTTCCACTAGCTCCAAAGGGCCAAAAAATGATTTGTTCTGTCCAATAAAAGTCTTCTTCACTAAAAGGAATATACAGAAAAATTTGTGAAGAGAAGTGACAGGCTTCCAAGTTCAGAATTACAAATTTTAGCCTGTTTTTCTTGGCCTTTCCAGCTCCTGATATATCAGCGAAAAGGGGGCATTGACAGTTTAGGAGGCACAAAATACAGGGTGTTTGAGAAAGTCAGCACACAGTTTTATCTTTATGACTGACTGGCATCACGCGGGGTATGTGGTTAATAGTAAGGTCATACAGAAATCAAGCTGCAGACACAGCGAGACCGAACACAGCCTCATCTATCCTCCCGGAGCAGGAGCGGGCGCCCACCTTTCAGCCCGTGCTTCAGGCAGTGCTCCAGCACCACGAAGAACTGCTGCAGGGGAGGGAAGTCGGAGTCCAGGGTCCGGCCGAGGCTCAGGGCTGACTGGATCAGGATTTTGACACTGAGCTTCATCATGTTCATGAGGTTGGCGCGCTCCTCCATGGCGTGACACCGCGCGCCTGGCGGGGGGACACAGGCGGGGGGAGAAGGAAACGCCGCTTTTAGAAAGGCGCT